CTGTATACTTGCCAGGATGTTGTTTACATGTGTCATTTGTGTACAGAAATATATGGGATGCATAGAAGCTCAGGGGATTACAATTTTCACATACTCTTCATACGTTACTATCACACATCACACAAGGAATCTCAGCTCTCAGCCCACAATCCCTCAGTCTGCTTTACTAAATGAATAATCCACATGTTATCTGGCCTATTAATGCTGCAACTCCAAAACACAACCAAAACACTTAACAGAATAAATTCTCTGACACTATCAGCACAACACAAACAGTCATTTCCTACTCCCATGAGCCCCAATTGATCAATCCTCCTCTACCCGGTCGTTATTATCCAGGACGTCTTTGCTACGCCTCGTCTGATGAAACTTCATCTGTGTCATCATCTTTTGACCACACGCAACCAGACTCCCATTGCTCCCATTCCTCGATGGCCATAAGCTTGTCCAATAGTGCCCGCACTTCTGATGGGCGCAAGCTTCGCTTTTCACTCTCTTGAGACTGCTGCCTGACTTCTTCAGCAATATCCTCCAACACGACTGGCAAAAGGCCATGGGGTGGGCCGCCATTGAGCTCGTTGAGCACAAATTGTGCTGTGGGAACTGGATTGCCCATGGACTCTTCCACATCATCCATGCTTCTGCTGGAGGAACCACGTGTACGTTTGACTTTAACTTGGGAGATCCGAACAATGCACACTCTCTTGATAATGGTCTCAAATGGGATACACCCATAAGCTGCTGCTGGTTTTCCAGTCACCCTGGAAGTGAGGTTGTGTGGACAATCAATGGTTAGTGTTAGTGCAAGAGAGGGAGGTATACAACTGAAATTACGACTGTGTGTAAACTACTTTTATTACCTCTGCCATCGCAGCGGACGGAGATTCAGTTCACGGTTCCATTCATCTTCTGGAGCATCAAACCACTTAATAATAATAATAATAATAATAGTACGCCGGCCGGGGCCTGGCGTGTGTTAAGGGGGTGGGGAACTGAGGGGCGGCGTAGCCGCTCCTGTATGCCCGCACCACCGTGGGAAACCGTTCGGGTTGTACCTGTTACTTGACTGTACCCTCCATTACTCGCCGCGCCCGGATAATCGTGCCCGCTGCTTCGATTGTTTGCCGGTGGAGGTGCAGGCAGGTCTTCTGGGCCTGCTCAGCGGACGAGCCGAGTCTGCATAGTAGCGGTTTTAGTGTGTTGGTTAGAGTCCCAGTACTTCCCAGGGTGACAATTTGCGCCTCGGTGTAGTGCACCGTCCAGCCTGCTTTCGTGAGTTCCTCTGTTAGCCGTGCATGCTGTGCGGTTTTCTGTTCGAGTTTGTCGGAGTGCTGCAGGTCTCAAACCACTTAACATACACCACATCTGCTACCTTGTCTTTGTAGAGTACGCTGAGCAGTAGCTGCACCTGCACACAAGGGCCATGCACATATGAGCAAACTCCAGAGAACTGAAGTACATACACACAACGAATGGAAACCAAACCTCCATTTGCCTACCCGTCCGTACCACACACCATAGCCCCCTGGGGTGTCGTTGTTCAGGATTGAAATGTCGCACACTGGGCATGCCTGGGTCTTGAAAAGGGACTTAGCCAGGCCGCCACCACGGATGTAAGTGACGGTGTGAAGTGGGGCGTAGTAAAGACATCCCATACGCCTGATGACAACCTACAAGTGTGAAGTTCACATGCATAGCATAGTCAACAACTAGCTAAATTATCACTGCTAAACCTGCTAGCACTGTATCATTAACCTATGTAACCAGCGAGCCTACCTTGGCATGATCCAGATCCTGTGCAGACACCCCCGGGGGTGTCTGGGGGCTGCCTGGGGCCCCAGGCAGCCACCAGCTGCTCTGTAAGGCACTGCTGCAGGTACTTTGCACCCTCCATGCCCCAGGCTGCTTCATCTGTTTGCAAAAAAATGCAAGACATGCATATAGTGTGATGCCATTGGGTCAACATTTTGGGAAAATACAAGCTTGCATACACCGACCTTGCAGATTCTTAACCTTTTCCATGGCCTGTATCCAAGGAAGGCTGAGACCTGACCGGCCGATGGCATGTTTCTTGTCCCTGAGTACCTGTGCTCTCTGGTACACAGGTACGTTGATACGTGCAACGTGGGTTAGGCGGTAGCGGCATAAAAATCTA